CGACTGAGGAATCCTCACATCAGATGAACAATGTTTCTGTCAGGTTTCAGTGTTCAGAAGCTGCAGGATAATTAACGTTTTATTAGCTGTAAGTCGCAGGAGGCCAACGAGAGCCGTGTGCCAGTGGCGTAAAAAAAGAAAGAAATATCTTATTGATACCAAATGCTGTAAAATAAGAGCCCAAGTGTGTTTTATCAGAAAAAAATTAGGCTTTATGTCAGTGTCCACAAAAACTCTAAAGTTTGAATCAATCAAAGACGAAAGCAGATTAAAACTTGGAGACGTTTCTGCATGACGACGAGTCCAACTCCACAGCATCCGGTGAAGCAGCTACATGTGACTTTAAACTGCTGATCCATGAACCTTATTCACCAACCGGCACCGTCTGGAGCCTTTAGCCTAGCATGGATCCCGGCTCTCTTCCTCCTCCTTTGTTTACATTCGTACTGCTTGCACTTCCCTCTCTCTCGGGTAACTGCTGCTTGTTGTAAACAAGTCAAACTTGGACATGGAGATGACGAAGAGTTAAGATAGCTGACGACCGTACAGCGGTAAGATCACTCACTCTGCCGTACAGTCTGAAACCAAAACAGGCATAGAGCCTCACTCAGACAGGTTTGCAGAGAACTACAGAAAAACGCTGTTGTGAAGTTATACAAATACCAAAGGACAAGTATTGTAAAATGTTCTGCCTGTGATTCATATCTTTGTTGTTGTAAGCATTAAGGGACCAAAAAAAGCTATTTTATTCATTATATATTCTTTTAAATTATTCGGTCGATTAATCACTTATCAAAATTTTTTAATTTTTTTTCCCCAAATATCGGAATCGGCATCGGCCTCAAAAAATCTATCAATCTAATAATCAGTCAAAGCTGACCCTCTGTGTGCTGTTTAATTTCAACAGACATCAACGACAGATTTTTATGTTCACATATCGATGCACAACCAAAGTTGTTGATGTTCTCAGGCTGGAAGGCGACAGAACTGTTGTTAGAGAGTTTGGACTCCACTGAGCCACATCGGGACTGTTACCGTCCTCAGTCCTCAACAGAAAGAGAGAGCGAAGCGGGTCATCGCGTGGTTGCAGAGTAACCAGGGAAACTTCTAAAAGGCCTCAAGAGTTCATCATCAGGAGACACTGAGCACCGTTACTCAAAAGCACAGTTGAGCTGCAAGGAGGAGGAAAAACTCTGATGCCCGTCTGCAGGTTGATAAAGTTCACAGACAGAAAACTTCTGGAAAAACTTTCTGTGGATGGCAAGATGAAAATAAAAAGAAGCGGGAACAATAGGGTCCTTGCCCTTCGGGCAAGGACCCCTGCTTGCTGCAGCAAGTAGGGGTCCTCGGACCCTAATAAAGTCAAAGACCTTCATCCAATAGAATGTGGAGTCAGCAAACAGTTGATGGAGAAACATCTCAGAGGTGAAGCTGTTTGTAGAAGGGCTGATGTTCAGGACAGTTACTGGAAAGTTCAGCTGCTAAAACTGAAACTGAAAGCAAAAGTTCAATTACCTACATCACTCATGGATACAGTTGAAACCAGAAGTTTACATCCACTGTATAAAAGACATAAACCTTTTTTTTCCTCACTGACATTACATCAGACCAAACTTCTCCTGTTTCAGATCAGTCAGGATTACCAACATTATTACTATTTTCTAAACGCCAGAATAATGAGAGAGAATTTTTTAGAGAATGTTTTATGACTTTCTTCAAAGTCAGAAGTTTACATATACACATCTATAAGTTCTTCCAGAAGCTTTCTGTCTGTGAACTTTATCAACCTGCAAATGTGTTCAGTCTGGTTTCATGTCAGTGAGGGAAAAAAAGTTATTTGTCTTTTTATACAGTGGACGTAAACTTCTGGTTTCAACTGTATATAATATCAGATGTCAACAAATAAATATGTTTTCCTCAACAATTTTATTTGGTTCTATTTTTCCGGTCTTTATTTTATATGAAAATCTGCTGATATTTTAGCTCCTATTTATGCAGAAATATGGAAAACACTGAAAGGTTCACAGACTGCCAGCTCCGATGTATGACCAACATTGAGATGAAATTAAGACCAAGTCGTCTGCAGGTGGCACGGTGGTTGCCTCGCAGCTACAAGGTCACCGGTTTGCGTCCCGCTGAAGATCTTTCTGCGTGGAGTCTCCGTGTTCTCCCCGTGCAGTGTGGGTTCTCTCTGGGTTCTCCGGCTTCCTCCCACAGTTCAGAAACATGCTGAGGTTAATTGGTGATTCTAAATTGTCCATAGTGTGAGTGTGCTTGGTTGTCTGTCTCTAAGTGTAGCCCTGTGGTAGACTGGTGACCTGTCCAGGTGAACCTGCCTTCACCCTGAGTCAGCTGGGATAGGCTCCGCCCCCTGCGACCCAAGTGAGGATTAAGATGTAGAGGTGATGGATGGATAGTTTGAGTTCATTGAGTTTACTGTAGGAATGCACAATTTAAACACGTTCCTTAACCTTCAGTTTGCAGCCATATTAATTAGAAGTCGACTAATCAGTAACACTGGATTAAACCTTCAGTGTAAGTCCCTGATACAGTAACATAATGTGTACGATTTCAACTATTTATATCGTGTAGTGTTGGTTCGACTCAGTTATTCAGCCATTGGTGTAAAGAGACTTTTTATTAGCCCAGTTCTGCTCAAATCAACAGAGTTCTGTTTGGAGGTCATGAACCTCCTCAGAGTCTCTGTCATGGTCCTGTTGCTGCTAAACTCCCACAATGCTCTCTGCTGCCACCATGAACTGTAGTCCAAGTGACGCCTCCTCTGGTCTCTACAGGATTAAACAGGAAGAGGCGCCACCTGGTGGAACAACCAGGTACTACAGCTGGTCTATGATACATTTACTGACATCATGACCTTCATCTGCTGCCTTTCAGCTAATATCTCTTATTGGTGAAATTATTAACAACATTAAATCAATTAATTCATTAACACCTCTGCTCAACTGACGTTTGAGCAAACACTGAACTCAGAGCAACAGAGCACAAAGAATCACTGACATGTGAACATTAAAGCACATTCATATAATAGAGGAACTAAAACAATAAAGCATGAGACAGTTTAGAGGTTAAAGGACCTGAACTAAGTGAAAGTGCCAGTTCACAGTCAGTTGATGCAGGATTTGTTGTAATAGAGGTCAGATGAGCTGTTGTTGTGCAGAGATTGTTAAAAGGTTTTCTGTTGTGATTTCACAATGTAGATCATCACAGTTTGGATATTTGTTTGTTCTCGTGTTGAACATGAAGCTGACGGCTGTCATCCTTCGTGCTTTTTTATAAACAATGAACATCATGATGCAAACACGTAGAAATGTGTCTTTGTTTGGAAACAGCAGGACCATGAAAACATTTCAGGTGTTTTTCTGGTCAAACTGAATCATGAGTAAAAAGGTGCTTCTTCTCAGCATTGTTTCCAGACCGGCTCAAGTCGGTGGTTTGACAGGAAGCTGAGTGATCCAGATGGCCGTTAGACCGCTAAGCGAATCACAGCTGTCCGTCCAATCAGAGTTTGCGGATGATTTACAGTGTGTTTGTGGAAGACTGACAGTAATGGACCAATCACAGATCAACTGTCAGGTTCAAGAGTTGAAGAGCCCCATAAAAGAGTAAAGTGAAGGACTGCTGCAGCTTTCAGAGCGCCGTTGTTTTTAACCCCGAGGCTGAAAACATGAACTTTATTATGAACATGAGCAGGAGGGAGGAGCTGGAATAAAGAGTTTGACTGAAGCTGGACGTCTGCAGTTTACACGATAGAGGACTTTTTCCTTGCTTTCATCAGAACTAAACAAAACCATGACAGAAACAAAGAGCTCCAGCAGGCTGAGCTCTGGATGAAGCAGGATCTTCAGGTTTGACTGACAGTGGTTCATTTCTTACATCATCATGGCAACTGATGCTGAAGACCTGACGAGCAGGTGATGCTCCTGATGACAGATCGAGTCTTGACAGACAGCATCAGGCATCATTCCTGCGGAGCTCAGTGTCAGATAGTGAGAGAAGCTCTGAGGACATTTCGTTGTTCTATCGGCCTTTAAATATGTCGATATCATCCTAAAACAGGCAGATTCAACACTGAACCTTGTCCTTGTTGACTTTCTAAGCTCTGCAGTGAGTGGACTTATCGGTCTGAAGGATGTTTTGTTCTTTACTTGCTTTAACAGCAGCTGAAAGAATAAAACAGTCTGACCCTCGATGAGAACATCCCAGTGATGTGAGATCACGGAATCCATCGTCCACATCACCATTGAACCTTTTATTATTGACCCTTCAAACAATCTGTCTTTATGAGCAGATAAACGACTTCGTCTGTAGTTTTGTTGCACAGTCTTGTGCTGATAAATACACTGAATGTAGAACCAGAAACCTCCATCACATTCATATGAAACCTTCTCAGTTTGTTTCCTTCTTGACTGGATATTTTAAACTAATCATGTTGGTTTATAGTTTGTTCTTTTGCTGACAAATATATAAAGTTACAGATTTCTGTGTGATAAGAGAGTCTGTCTACGTGGCGTGTTCAGGTGTAGATTTATTGAAATAATGGTGAATAAACGATGTGGCCGAAACTGTTTGACACAAACGTCTTCGTATGTTTGGATCGATCAGTTTGATCAGTTCAATGATCAGCAGAGAAACTTTGCTTCTCTGATTCTAAGACGAAGGTACCAGCTTGTTTTCATGAATCTTTAATTACAACTCCCAGTGTGTGTTTCTGCTTGACCATCCAATCACAGCATCAGATTCTGTCATGTGATTAAATCAATCTGACAGACTTCAGCAGCTGTGGAGGTAAAGGTTCACACACCTGTGTCTCTATGGCGACAGGATCATGGCAGTTGTAGTTTTAGACCTCTCTGCAGAAATTATATGTTAAAGCTGAAATAATTCAAACCTGCATCATTCAGATGACTTCCTGAAGCGTCACACCAACATTTACCTGAACAGGTGTAGCCCTGTGACATCACCTCTGTCTGTGTGTTCAGGTCCGGTGATGAACGCCGTCATCATGGCAGCTCCGGCCAACATGTTCCTGCCCGACAGTCGGCCCACCGTCCCGCTACCGCGCTTCAACCGACACCTGCACGCCTCCGAAGGCGACGGCGGAGAGTCGGGGGAGGTGTGCGTCCGCCTTGGCCTCCACGTACAGGTGAGTCCGCAGGTGAAGTCCCACCTCTCAGGAGACCTCCACCTGTCACTGAGTGGCATTAACTCACACCGATTTCTATTGTCGACCGCTAAAACTGAAATAATTCTAAAGGCATGAACGCGGCGCTCTGATTGGTTGTTCAAACACACACACCGTCAAGTTATTTTGTTCATGTTAATGAGGAGACAGAATCTGATAGTTTAATTTTAGTTTGTCAACACTCTGTAATAAAGTTTGTGTTGTTTCCTGGATCATTAGCAATTTCTGGTTTCAGAAAAAAACATCAGCTGTAGCAGTCCTGCATTTCTTCTGCAGCCTGTGGGGGGCGCTCACATGCCACAGTGTTCGTCTGCTTCCTTGTGTTTAGGAGTTACACCCAGAATGGAGACCTTTGTATTTTTTAAATGTTTTTTAAAGTTGTGTTGAAATGAAACTCAGGATGTTTGTTTGGTTTTATTCTGGCGGCGTTTCAGGAGGAAGAGGAAACATACCTGCAGAAAGCTGATCGGCTTAACTCCTTAATGAACGCTGTGACTGACAAGGTGAGAGGGGGCGGGGCTTCATACCTCCTTCAGCTGTAATTGATTGGTGTCCAGCAGGTGAGGCAGGAGGTCAGACACCAGTGACTACATGCATTAAACCAGTTAATGTGGTTCCACTCTGGCTAAACTCCAGTTAAACTCCAGTTAAACTGGAGTTTGTCTAGACTGAAGCTGGATGATTGCGGACAGTTTGAGCCGCAGGAAGTGAAAGCTCCATTTTTATGAGCTCAGAATGATGTTTCCAAAGTGATTTAGGTTGTTTGACTCGTCCACTGAGCTGCAGCTGTTTGTTCAGTCTGATCGTTGTTAGCGATCGACGATGAACGTCAGCTGCAGGAACAACAACCAAAGTGTCTGAGGATTCAGAACGTAAAATGCTCGACTTGTTGCTGTTCTTTAACCTAAGACGTGAGACTCACTGATATTTCTGATGTGTTTGTTGTTTCAGTCAGTGTTCGGTGACGGTGAAAACACGAAGGTTCGAGTTGCAGAACTCGAAGAGGAAGTTCAGACTCTGAAGAAAGTCAACAAAGATCTGTACGACTTCTCCAGCCAGCTGCTCACAAAACCCACATAGACACACAATGTACACACAGCAACAACACACACACACACACACACACATTTCAACAAACACACACACATTTAAACAAACGCACAAACATGTAAACACACTGATGATTTGTTTTTGATACAAAATAAAAGTCTTTTTTTTTTTTAGAAGTTGAGTTTCTGTGTTTGTAGCTACGACTGTTTATTTCTAACTTCAACCACCAATAACCAGCCGCCAACAAACGCTTAACTAGTGCCAAGTTAACAGATCAAGGTTAACTAATCACAGGCCCCAATAACCAATAACCAGCGGCTAGCAAACGCTTAACTAGCGCTAAGTTAGCAAATCAAGGTTAACTAATCACGGGCCCCGACAGCTGACCTTAACTAACAGCTGAACTAACCACAGCTAGCTTTAACTAATTCTAACTAGTCTAACCGTTATCAAACCTATAATTGTTTACTGGGACTGTAATGACTGTAATCAGATTACTTTTCAAGGTGACCAGATTACAGTTAGTGACTAATACTATTGGTCAGGGATCAATACTGGATTCAGACTGATGCTTGCTATAAAATGAATGAACTGAAATGACCCTGACTGCACATAATCGGATTACTCTCTTCAATGTAATCTGATTACTCATTCAGTGTAATCAGATTACTCTGTTCAGTGTGATCTAATGTGTAAGAGCTGTGTGATGTCTGAGTGAACATGAGGCCTTTATTCTGAAGGAGCTGGACTCGACCTCAGTTGACCCTGTTCAGCTCAGAGGTCAAAGGTCAAGACGGGTTCACTGGAATCAGCTTAGCCTCTCTGTTATTTACAGCTTTTAGAAACAAGTTCTCTGTATGTTTACAGTTTCATTTCTGTGATTATACGCTCAGATTATTAATGAGGCTTCCTCTGGGAATTCAGGTGTTTGTTTATTTCATGTTGTTAGTATTTGATGCTGCAGCTTAAAGACAGTAAAGCGTTGAATTAATCAGTGGGATGAACTAAAAGCTGCAGCGGTGTTTCTTCACAGCGACAGGTGTTCAGACCTGCAACTAAAAATAACAACTGGAAACGGATGAAAACATTAGAAATATTAAAACCTGGATTTAAGTCAGATTAGAGGCAGAAATCTGAATGAATGAAACTGTTGGTGCCACAAAAATACAAATGAACTTTCACATCCTGCTGCTGCCACAAGTGTCCTCACCACGATCAGAGCAGCTGGTTAACAACAGAAGATTATTTAATTTTGTCCTCAAATCTAAAGCGAGCATCTTTCTGAGAAGCAAACAGATGAAATGAATTTTTCAAGATGTTTCTTAAACCTGCAGGTGAAATTCAGGAACCTGTTAAATGACGTGAACGTTATTGAGATGAATCCTGGAGGAGCTAAACCCTCACCCTGAAACATGTTTCACATTTAGACTGCAGCTGATTGGAGCTTTGTGTGTAAATCCGTCAAAATGAAGCCTGCTTTAACATCATGTAAATGTGACATTTTAAATGTAAAAATAATAAATGTCATGTTTGTTGAAATATGCAGCAGATTGTCTTCAGGTTACACTGAAGAATTAAAATCAGATAGTTTTCTATAATGAGCTCAGTTTGACCTTCAGGATGTTACACAACATTTTAGATTTAACAGTAATGATGATCATGGTCACATGACTGCTTCATTCTGATTGGCTGACTGTGGAAACGATGAGCTTCTGGCTGAAATAATGACTGATTCTAAATGATGACAAACAGGTGAAACCAGTGCAGATCCAGATCTGAAACAAAGACGTGAGGATCACATTGAATTATTGATCGACTGATGAACTGATTATACAAAGTTTGTTTTCCTGCAGCTGTTTATTAAACTGGCCAACATGCGGAACTAAACCAGAACTCAGCTGGATTAACAGAAAGTACAAACAAAAAGGAAAATTTCACCTTTACAGTCATATTTAAACAAGCAAACGTTCAGAGCCAGCTTAGTCTTCGTCGTCGTCACAGGCGAGTAGACGACTAAACGAACTGACAGCAGAGGTTCAGGCGTCCTCACTTGGGCAGCAGCTTCCTCATTAAGTCGAGTGTCTGTCTGCTGCTAGTCGATCCCGGTCATTTGGGTTAATTCCACATTTCAACAAGGAGTGTTTTAATGAGTTTGTATGTCTTTTCTTTGGAGCACCAACTGGTCTAGTACCAGTAGAGCTGGTAGAGCTGTGAATATAGTCCAGCTGGTCCAGGTAAATCTGCTTTGAGCAACAGTTTGAACAGATGTGATGTTCTTCAGTTAAAACAGGAAGTCCACTCTCTGCCTCAGCTCCTCTTCATCTGCATGTTTGAGGTTTTGTTTCTCGTTTTAAATCCTTACATTTCATCCCATCACACAACCTCCATTTCTTCTTTCTGAGACTTTTCTTGGTTTCTTCCAGAGAATCTTTTTTTTTTAAAGATTAGATTTTGCAGAGGAAACCTGCAGATTGGCTGGAGAGGCTTCTTCTCTGAGCAGTAGCTGCTGTAATATTAAACACGTTTCATTTTTAAGTTCATCAGAACTCAAAGTGTGAAAAACTTCCAGAATCTCCTGGCTGCTCTGAACAGCTTCACATGGACACGTCGTAGTTTTAGTCGGTTCACTGTTTTTCTTTAAATGTCACAGGACTGCTTTTAAAATTCTGCCCACAGCCTCGACTGCGTCGAACCAGCAGGATGAGTTGGGTCAGCGCCGATTTGCCTGCAGTCAGGTGACTCCACAGCAGGTTTGGAAATGTCACAGCCGCTTTAATCAGCAGATCATATAGTTTATTCAGTGTTTTCTGGTGGAAAAGCTGCTCTGAGATCAGCAGAGGCCCCGCAGCTCGCAGTCCTCGACCTGATCGCTGATCCTGGATTAGGTTTCCGTCACACCAGTGGCTCGGTGACCCCTGAACGATCCTCCAGCTGTTCTGCTTCAGATGAAACCATCAGTCCTTCGCTGAACATCTCAGCAGCTGAAAGCAGCAGGATGAAGGCATCGGTGTTGCCTTCAGTCTTCTTAAACAGTCATGTAGCTGTTAAACTTCTTTCTGAGGACTCAGTTACAAACATGTGAACTCCCAGCATGCACTCTGCTGTAGCGCCGCCGCTGTGCAGACACAGATTTCAGCTCCTTCAGACTCTCGTTCACTTGGTGAGACGACAGAATTTCCGTTCCAGATGCAAGAGATATGAGGGCATCCTGTGCTGAATCAGTCCATTCTCCTCCTCGGGTCGCACTGCCCCGAGTCTCGCCTCTCAGGCTCCCAACAAGCCGACCAGCCTCTGTGGTGCCACTCATCTAGGCTGAAGAGTCGAGCTGAATGATATCAGAGATAAAGTGGTGAAGATAAACAACAGCATCTGTCACAAAACATCCACAAAGGAAACTGAAGTGATGCAGAAGCTTCAAATACAGAAACCGTTAACGGCAGCACAAACGCAGCAACCACTGAGTAGGAGAGGAAAGGTCCGAACGAAGTCCAGGTTCTGTTAAAGGAGGACATGGTGCTGGATGGGAACCTCTAAAAACCAAACTGGACCAGCAAGCTACACAGAAGAAGATTCCTGTGTTGATTCTCCAAGACATGCTGACGTTCACAGGTGATGGAGG